GACCTGGGAAGCGAGAGTGAGGACTTGGCCGACGAGCCGAAGCTCAACGGGGCATGGGCGCCGAGGCCAGCACCAGAGCGCGGCCAGGCCGAGCGCCAGAGCGACGCGAGAGGCAGCTGGCCCCACGTCAGCGCGAACCTCACCGAGGAGCTGGCGGCCGAGGCTATGCATGATCGCCCTCTGGTTCTTGGCCCAGCGCGTCGAGGCGGCGGCAGCAGTGGAAGCGGCGCTGCAGCAGCAGGGCCATCTGGCGCCTAGCGCGGCCTCAGAGTTCGAAATGGCGGTGGCCGGCATGGGCTTCCAGGGCTCCAAGCGCGCCATCCATCGACCCGTCTTCCTCTGCTTGGCCCGCGGGGTCAGCTCGGAGGATGGCCTTGCTTGAGCCGGAGTGGGGCCAGCATGGCTTGAGCCGGAATGGCTACGGAGGGGGCGAGGGGGGGGGCGCATGACGAGGAGGGCGAGGAGGGCGAGGAGCGCGAGGCGGCGCAGGTGGCGGAGAAGGCGGAGGAGGGCGAGGAGAGCGAGCGGCTCCGTCGGCTCCGGCGCTGGCGAGCGGGGGCAACGCCGTCCGTCTCGTGGGGGCCCAACGTGCGCAGACCGCCCGCCGGCACGTCGGCCGTCGAGAGCACCCAGAGGGGGGGGTGAGCTGGACGGCCCTCTGGCGAGCCAGCGCTGCGCGGCGAGCGGCGCCGGAGGTGCTGGCGAGGGCGCGGGAGGTCGGGCGCCGCCGCCCGTCACCCTGGAGGAGACACGGGGGGGCCAGCAGGGGGCGCCTCCCCCGGGGGCTGGCCCCAGAGCTGTGCCTGCCCCGCCCGCGGCCGGCCGCTCTCCCCCCCTCCCGAGGGCCGCTGGGGCGAGGGCCGCCGCGAGACGGCCCAGGAGCTTCGGAGCTGTGGCCACCCTTGCTGGAGGAGGTGCGCGGCCCATAGCCGTCATCCCGCTGCTGCGGAGGCCCTTGAGCCGACGGAAAACTGCGGGCCTGGGCCTTCTGGGGAGCCGAGCGCGACTTCAGCGTTTTCTGGGGCCGAGCGGCGAGAGGCTGCGAGAAGGCGGGCTGGCCCCTCGGCTTGGACGCGGCCTTCGCCGAGACCAGCGGTAGCGGCGCAGGCAGCCTCTTCCTGGACATCACCCAGTTATGTGAGAACCTGCGGCACGATGTGCTCTGGCAGCGTGGCATCGCCTTTGGCTTCAACCTGCGCCCCCTCCGTGGGCTGCCGGTGCGCCTTCGCAGGGCTGGCTGGGCCATCGCCATGTGCGACGACGACGGCAACCTGGTGGCAGGCGCGGATAGCGTAGTCAGGCGCGGGCACTGCCCGCAGCACCATGCCAAAGACGGGGAGGACTTCGCGGCCACGATGCAGGTCGACTTCGCGGGCCCTGGCTTTCACGAGGAGGACATCGGTTGCAGCTTCACTGTCTCCTGCTGCAAGGACCTTCCTGGCGCGCTTGCGCGGCGCCAAGTTCGCGGAGCCGGCGTCGCGGAGCCCGACGTGCACACGCCGAATCAGCGCCGCCTGGGCAGTGCGCGCACGTCAGCCACGGCCAGCGCGGAGCAGAGCCTGGAGTCTCTGGCCCACGGCTTCCTCGGTCACGTCTCGAGCTACACAGCGACCAGCGACGGCGAGGAGCAGGAGGTGCAGGCCTGCACCAGGATCGGCGTCTACGCTGTCCTTGGAGGGGGCTCTGGAGCCACGCCCAGGCTCGAGGAACAGTGCCCGGGGGCCGTGGCTGACAAGTCTGGGCGCAGCCAGCGAGCATCAGTCGCCAGGGCCCGCGCCTCGGCGGGAAGCCACGCCGGCGGGAGCAGTGGGCAGAGGATGCCGAGCCGCCCAGGCTCCGCCCCCGGGGCGGAGTGCCCGAGTCGACTCGGGAGAGCCCCTTCGCCGGGATCGATGCGGAGCGCGGAGGCAGCAGGCGCGGGCGCTGCAGGCGGGGGGGGGGGGGGGCCTGCTCGCAGCCAGCCCAACGCAGGCGCGCCAGCCGGGGCGGGCGGAGCCTCGGCCCAGCCCCACGGCCGCGCAGCGACCAGCAGCGCCGGGCGGCCCGAGCTCGGCGCGCCTCCCCGTGGCCCGCGGGCTGGGCGCGGCGGCGCTCGAGGCGTGGAGCGCGGAGGCCGCCCGTGCCCGCGGGCGGTGCACGGCGGAGGCCAGCGTCGCAGTACGCGCCAGGGGGTCCGCTGCCCGTCGTGCGCCCCCAGGCCGCTGGGCACGGCGGGCGCGTCCGGAGGTCCTCTGCCCCATCCCTGGCGCCTCGACCCTCCCTCCCGAGAGAAGTCTCGCAGGGACCCGGGCCCAGAGTTCCAAAACTTCTCGGGGCGTCCTGCGAACCCCCTGGGCCCCGTGGCGGATGACGGGAAGCGCCTTTTCTCGGAATCAGAAGGTGATGGGAGTTGTGTAGCATTTTCTTTTTTTTGTGGCAAAGGCTTAATGTCATGTAATGGCTTTTTCTAGCATTTCTAAATATAGATAAAGAACAAACTCGCGAGGGACAACTAACTCCCGAATGTAAATGTTGATACGTTGGCGGATTCCGCTCCAAATGGCCGTTTCGCTCGGAGACATCCTCGAAATAATTAGATGTTGCAGCCGTGTGGTTAAGACGTCTTTCGTTAAAAATGAGGCCCTCGCTAGAGACACCCTCGGAAAACTGCATTCGCAGCATCTTAGCTCGAGGTCCTGTCTCCTCCGTCTCCTCCGTCTCTAAGGTCTCCTCCGTCTCTGTGGTCTCCGTCTCTGAGGTCTCCTCCGTCCCTCCTCCGTCTCCTCCGTCTCCTCCGTCTCCTCCGTCATCCTCCTCCTTCTCCTCTTCCCTTCTCCTCCTCCTCCTCCTCGTCCTCCTCCTCCTCCTCGTTCTCTTCATCCTTCATTACGCACATCCCCCCCGCCCGTCGCCCCCATAACACATCCCGCACGCACGCCGTACATCCCCCCGCCCATCGCCCCAATAACACATCCCGCACGCACGCCGTACATCCCCCCGCCCGTCGCCCCCTTAACACACCCCGCACGCACGCCGTACACCCCCCCGTCCCGCCCGACCAGCACACCCCCTGCACGCACAGCCGCACACTCGCGTGCAGCCGCACACAGGCACACACAGACACACAAGCACACGCACACACGCACGCACATGCACACGCACACACACACACACACACACACACACACACACACACACACACACACACACACACACACACACACGCACGCACGCACGCACGCACGCACACACACACACACACACACACACACACACACACACACACACACACACACACACGCACGCACGCACGCACGCACGCACGCACGCACGCACGCACGCACGCACGCACACACACACACACACACACACACACACACACACACACACACACACACACACACACACACACACACACACACACACACACACACACACACACACACACACACACACACACACACACACACACACACACACACACACACACACACACACACACACACACACACACGCTACGTGCAAACGCCACGCGCAACACCTGACCAAAGCAAATGCAGGCAACCACTAAACGTAAGCTACCAATGGCAACCATCTGGGCATGCAGGGATCCCAGCGATTGCATCCCATGCGCACACATGCGTGTTGGGTGCAACTCCGTGCGCGCATGCGAACGCAAGCTCAGAGAAGCGGCGCTTCCCATTCTTGTCCGGGAAGGTTCCGGCATGACTTTCTCGGACCCACGAAGGCCTCAGTGCGGACCAAGAGGGCTCCAAGAGGCCTCCAAGACGGCCCAAGAGGTCCCCGATACGCCCGATCCAAGACGCCCACGATGGCCCCAGGACGCCCAAAGAGGCCCCGAAGACGCGCCAAGAGGCCTCCAAGAGGCCTCCCCAGAAGGCCAAGAGGCCAAATCATTGATGACCCTTAGGTGTTTGAATCATGTTGGCCTTCTCGCCTTTTCGGCTCTCCGACGCTCCAGTACAGCCCAAGAGGCTCCCTGGCCCGGGCATCAAAAAATGCGTGGGCCTCATGAGACGTTCCGAAGACCGCCCCAAGACGGCCCAAGACGCCCCCAAGACGACCCTAAGACGGCCCAAGACGGCCCCAAGACGGTCCCAAGAGGGGCCCAAAGAGGGAACCCGAGCGGACATATTTCGAGCCCTCGGCCACGAGGAGCCCCCAGGAGGCCCCAAGAGGCCCCTTGCCCCAAGAGCCCCCCCAGAGGCACCAAGAGGCCCCCAAGAGGCCCCAAAACCAAGAGGCCCACAAAAACTGCCCAGAAGGGACGCCCCAGAGCGCCCCGAAGATACCCCAAGAAGCATCCCTGAGAACTCTGACCCGCAACACAGACACGGTGGCGGAATGAGCCGAAGGCCATTTGATATAGTTTTGCTCCTGGGCGCAGCTCTGGGAACCCCCTGGACAAGCCCAGCATCGCCTGAAGGAAACTCCAAGAGAGCCCAAGAACGGCACATGAGCGGAACCAGTGAGTGGCGGGCTTTATGTGCCCTCAAGACAACACTTCGTCCCCAAGATAACCCCTTATGCGGCCAGAGATGGTTTAAGGCAGTCCCCAAGAGGCACCCAGGGACCAAAACATCCTGAACAGCTCGACGGTTGCTCAATATTGGTCGGCCTGGGGGAGTTCTCGCTTCCAGTGGGGTGCTGAGGCCTTCAGATGCCTACAAGATCGCCTCGTATGGCTTCAAGTGGACCCTGAAGGCCTCCAAGCAGCTCCGAGGACCCCAGAGCGCCCAAGGAGAAGCCAAGTACAGCTCCAAGACGGCCCGATGAGGGCCCCAGAGCCGCCCAAGAGCGTGCATCAAGGAGTGGCAGGCCACAAGACGGCCCAAAAACTACTTCCACGTGCCACCAAAACACTCACAAGACGCCCCGAGATAGTTTCGAGGTGGCCCGAAAAGAGCCATAGAGCGGTCCAGGAGCGGGCATCAAAGCGTGGCAGACCAGTAGACTGCCCCTAAACCACTCTCACATGCCCCCAAAAGAGGGCAGTCGTTCCCTGGACAGGTTGTTGCCCAGCACCTCCCCTGGCTCTAATATCTCTACAGGTCTCTAATATAACATGGGCCCTAGCCCAGCAACGAAACCATGTAGGCCAACGGAATGAGCGAACCTGTGAGATACTCAGATGGGCAATCGTGGATAATGGCGGATATGCGGTCCAGAGGCCGCGATCCCTCGTCCCCACCCCCAATAAAAACAAGTTGGTAGCCAGCGTGGGCCCAATACAATAATATGTTGAACTGTGGATGTGTGAGCTATGTGATGCGAGCTATGTAGTGTAAGCTATGTGTTGCAGCAGACGTGGTGCAAGCTAGAGTTAAGTCGGGCGTGTCCCCCTACAGGGGGATT